TTGTTGGACAAACTACTTGCGACTTTTATAAAGGGAATCGAGCTACATACATCAGCCAAGCAACCAGAATCAGCAGCTAACAATAGCATCAGCAGTAACAACAGGCAAAGCAAAGAGCGTACTTGCATATACAAATACATAAATCAAGAAAAGTAGTAAGTAGGCAAATTTTTAATTTCCTTAAACATTGAAATAATGTAACTTTCATTTTCTTAAAAGTTATATTATTTCTAATAAACTGCCAACGGAAATAAATACGTATATGTATATACATAATTTGGGATTTGTGGATCCAAAATGGCGACCAACTTTAAAAAAATTATTGGATTTGTTTGAAACTCTTAACCGCCATTTTGAATTTTGAAAATCTGACATCAGATTCGTAATCAGCAACCCCAGAAACCCATTGGAAACGTGTTTTAACCCTTGACAATGTTTAAAACGTTCAGTATCAACGTTTTAATTTTAGTACTTTTTTTTTAATTTGATCGCAATATTGGATCCCCCATTTTGAATTTAAAAAAATTGACTTCAGATTCGTAATCGGCGACCACAAAAACTCTCGAGTGCCGGGTTTCGAACAAATCCAATTATTTAAAAAAAAATGGACCGCCATTTTGGATCCGCCATTTTCAATTTCGAAAAACTGACTTCAGATCCCTAATTAGCAACCCCAGAAACCCCCTGGTAACAAGTTCCGACCCATGACAATGCGTAAATCGTTCAGTATCAACGTTTTAATTTTACTAGTCTCTTTTTGAGACCATATTTTCGGGCACTAGGCCCATTCTAACTGCCCAAGACAGGTATGTAATTAAGGGAATGTTCCCCAATAATACCAGAGTAATTAAATGTAAAAAACAAATTTTTAGCTGCATTTTAACATGTCAAGAAAATAAAAAAATTGCTCAAATCCAGTGAAATTATAAACGTTGTTTGAACACTCCACAACATTTGCATTTACTACAGAGTGGAAGATTTGAACGCAAATGAATTCCATTTTAAAAGCCGTCAGGAGAAGGTGAAGAACAAAGCTTATCCTTCCATATCAAATCGAATTCGAGACAACATACACACCTCTTTTTAAAAAGTTAGTAAAAACGAATGCAATAATAAAAACCTCTTTTTTATGTAACTTCACATTTTATGTATGTATGTACATATGTACATCTATTAATTTTATACAAAAAGAATAAATTGTATTCAGTGCATTTCACAGTTTATTTATAGATAATGAAAACAAAAACGCCTGGACTTTCTCTTTGAAAACCTCGCGCAATATCCCTTTTGGTTGCCATTATTTGAGCCAATTTTTCGTATTGCCCGTATTACCGCTCGCGAAAACACAGAAATCGAGAAAATTCATTTAAGATGGCTTTTACAATCATGCACAGTATATTTTACTTAATTTTGTTAATAAAATTTTATTATTCAAACGCACGAAAATAACAATCGAAACGTTCTCCGTCAGCAAATTTGCAACTTAGAAAAACGGAACTACGATCGAAATGTAGAATAGGTATAATCGTAAATTTCGAAGATTGATCGAAAGGAAACGGAACGCAGAATACCAAAGTTGCCAAACGGAGAAAATTTCGATTCGAGTCGAAATGCAGAATAGGGCTGATTAACTATTGTAACCTTGTATTGTTCGAATATTAACTATTGTAACCTTTTATTGTTCGAATATTAACTATTGTAACTACAAGCTTTGAATTTCGTGTAGTTGTAATTTTCGAATATGAAAATGTAAGCGATAGTACGGGTAACCCGACCTCGCAGCTAGAGCGGTATTGTCATTCCACTCCTGACCGCCACCGCAAACACTCATAAACTCCTAATTAAATATTGTAATTCTCCCCTTGAATTCAATAAAGATGCTAGTTTGAAAAGTTTTAAGTTAACCTCAAATCTCATATTATTTGGACATACATACGCGCATAAGTCTGTATAGTTGTGCACTCTGCACGTGAGAATCGAATGAAAGTTTCGAACATGGTCCTTACGATCCGACCAAAAGAATTGGCAACCCCGGCAATACCCATATGAGCGTGCACGCACTGAATGCACTACATAATTCGGCCATCACGCCAAAGATCTTCTCATACGTATACTCCACTCAACACAAAGTCGTTTGCGGATATAGAGTGCGGTTATCAGCGGTCATAGGCGTTGCTTATTTAAGCGGTCCGGCGAAAGGAAAAAATTAGCATATTATACGGAAAGTGCAAAGCAACTGAAAAATATTAAAAAAAAATAATTCTAAATATCTCTAAAAACCAATTTAACAAAAAAAAAAAACAAATACATTTAGAAACAAATCAAAGGGAGAAAACAGTAGAAACCAAAAGACCGTGAAAATTAAGAGTGCCGAAACCTACAGTAATGTAAAAATAAAATGGAACAGAATAAATAGAACACAAAAAAAGTTACGCTGTAAAAAATATAAAATCATAAATAAACTAGAAATCTAAACCCAAAAGTACAAAAAACTAAAGAAATCACCAAATATTTAAAGTCAAAACATAATTCTAGCGAAAAGTTGGGAAGAAGACTGGAAATCTAAATCTTATATATAATAATAAAATTATAGTTTAAAAAACTAAAACCTCCCTATTATAATTGCCATTCGTACTGTCATCAGCTATGTAACTTGAGAGCAGAAATCGCTGCATCTTTTAGGCGCATCAATATTACATAGTTACATCCCGAGCAGAGACCGGCTTTGAGTACTAATAAAATTAGTGTACTTATTCATGATCCATAAAAATTAGTGCAAATGAGCACTTACACTAATTCAAAAAATGACTAAGGCTTTCTGCACATTGGTCGTCCAATCATAGTTGCTTCATCGGCACAATCATGATGCAACGATTACATGACGACTACACTTTCGCACACTCGGTCGTGATATTTCAATTCATTTGGCGTCTAAAAATTCACTTAAAGCAGGTATTTTCTGTTTTTCTGGTGGATATTTTCGCGAAATATTTACAAAAACCTGCAATTTTTAAAATATAGACTGTGCTGCAACAATTCTAGACATCATTTTTCAGTAATATCTCTTCTTTTCTTTTCCTGAAATGTGTTTTGTGCATGCACACAGAGACTTTTTACAATTTCGTCATATATAGTTAAAACGCTCACATTTATTGAATTTAATTGCAATTATCCACTTTTTAATAATTTCCACAGATTTTATGCAAAAAAATACTAACTTTTATACAAATATTAACTTTTTCACTAATTTTTCCCCATAAAATGTAAACAAACAATGTGTGCACAACGATTAGCAAACGACAGTGCCGTACTTATCCGTTACTGCATCTTCTACGATTTGCCGATAACTAGCCGATAACGACAAGTGTGCAGATCTCCTTTGAAATGCATGTGCTTGGTCCAAAATTTCAGGGCGAGACGATAATATAACTATGATTGGACGACAAGTGTGCAGATAGCCTAAGAGTAATTTCCACCAAAACAAGAACACACTCAAAATATACTAGCTCTTATTTGTGGCGGCAATTTTTGTCTCTATCGAGTATAGTCTACCCAGCTGGATTTTACTCATTTGGTCGAGTGAGAGGCTGAAAATAATTTCAATGAGTTTAATATTATTTGTGTTCTGCTTTGTTCTACATCAGTGTTGGCATTTTTGGTACAATTGTACTTTTTTGATACAATTTCGTTTACTACGCAGTACTTTTTAGTACAATTTTGTGATGAATACTATAAATATATACGTAGCTCTGAAAAATCACTACGGGAATTCGTTTTATCTTTTTGTCCTCGCCTTCTCGTTTTTGCCTTTGTAAGTTTTGAAAAAAGGTTTTGAAATAACCATTATAACATAGCAAAAGGTGTGCTATCAACCTCACATTCCTAGGCAAGTTTTGAAAGAATATTTTCGATACTAAATCTTATTAAAACAAAATGTCGAAATCAGCTTCATATAGTTAGAAACAGTGTCATCGTTAATTCTTTATGTTCTTAAATATCATAACTTCACGACACTCATATATTGACTAGAGTTGACTATTTATTTTATTATTTTTTAATTCTAATTATTTGTTTATAAAAATATAGTTAATTCCTTAACAAAAACTGTATGAAAATACGTTTAAATCTTTGAACAACATTAAAAAAATCGACAAACTTTCGTAAAAATTTCGAGCTTTCTATTTCAATTTTAGTATAATAAAGTGCAAGTTTAAAGCAGCTGGAATTTGCCGTCAATGTCATATTATCTAAACGCGATTTTTTTTTTAACGAAGAAAATGAGCAACACCTTCATCAAGAAAAAAAAATATATATATTAAAAATCAACGATAAGTCGCAGCTATTTTAAACTTGCACTTCATTTAAATTGATCGGACTACAAACGGCATTCTCAAAACATGTATTTCTAGGAAATCGAGTTAAAAGCCCGAAATTTTTACGAAAGTTTGTTGATTTTTTTAATGTTGCGCAAAAATTGAACCTTGGGGTTTTGTTAAAGTATAAACTGCATTTTTATGCAAATACAAATAATTAAAATTAAATAATTTTAATATAAATGGACAATCTTGTCAATATGTGAGTATGGTTAAGTTTTGATAAGCACTTGAAATACTAAAAATAAAATGTCAAACTTTAGTACTGAATTCAAAGAAGATGTCTCCTTTATCCATGCATAATAACTTAAAAAAATTTGTTTGTTAAGAAGTGTACCTTAAAATATGTGCATACATATTTATGTTCAAAGTGTAAAATGTACCTACATAAACTTTCCCATGAATACCATCAAATCATTGATCTTGAAGGGAATCTATGTATGCATGTACTAAGAAAATATATGAGCAAATTAAAAAGTCGATGCAATTTACAGTCGAAAAGTATAGTTTTTGTATAGATTTCGTACTGAAGGAACAATTTCATTTCCCAACACTGTGCGACATGCGGGCGCCACCATAAACAAGTCTGTGCTAAAAGTGAGAGTGTGTTAGTGAGCCTTCGCATGCTGTCGCTTTCTCGTCGTTTGTAGATACATGTTTTGTTGCTATAAACCACGAAAATCACTAAATTCACTAAAATCACTCAACTGAACTATTGGTGCTTCTTAGTGCTCCTACTCATGTCGGTATAACTAATTTGTTTAATGGCTCAATGAGATAATTGAGCACTACACCAATTCATAACAACAGAGAACTTAGTCATTGTACATGCTCTCGCTTTGTGTGCCGAGCGTAAAATAGTGTTAGTGCATATGTGTGAATATTCTGCAATGAATAATATCCACTAACACTATTTCTTGTGTTATTCAACCAATTACTTAAAAACACGAATAATTGCAGTTCCCTGATCCCGAGCTAATAAAAGGAAGGTAAAAATAAGTGGACGTTTTTGGTGTGAGCTTATAACTTGAAAACGGCTTCACCGAATTCAACCAAATTTATGTGGCATATTCGTTCCACATATCATGCAGATGGTTATTATGGTTATGCGAAATTTGCCGGAATTCGGAAAAGGGGGCGTGGCACCACCCATACTAACTAAAATATAAAAATAAGTGAACGTTTTTGGTGTGGCCATATAACTTGAGAACGGCTTCACCTAATTCAACCATAATTTCATGTAGAAAAATGCCAGGATTTTTCATTAATTTTTCAATATTTGGTGTAGAGAAGCACACCGGGGTACCGCTAGTATATTTATAAATAAAAGTGAGAAAAAAAGTTTGAGCTCAAAATAGTTTGCGAAAAAAGACTTTATGTACGTTTATATGTATATACTTTACATATCTATACTATATATAAAATTAAAGCCCAAAAAAACGTGAGAGCAAAACGGCCGATGTACCTATTTCTACCACAATAGAACACAGTGGTATTTTTAAAATGAAATTTTAATAATAAGTACGTTTAATTAAAGTATTAAGTTGATCAACAATACCACGCATTGCTTGACCGTTTGCCCTTCACGCGTTTGTGTTTAGAGAGCATCAACAAACCCCATACATATTTCTCTTTATTCTCTTATCTTATACTCAGCTAGCCCAGCGCAAACATAATAAATAACATTATAGTTTAAAAAACTAAAACCTCCCTATTATCATTGCCATTCGTACTGTCATCAGGTATGTACAGTGACGAGCAAAACTGTAACATGGTGTAACACTTTTTATTTCAGCGACCGCTATCTTTCCAAGTTCTAACGACATTCATACTTTTGTTGTACATTCTTATTGGTACACCTGTACTTCCCCTCTCATAACGAATTGAAGTCAATCCAACAACAATAATAAAACCAGCGGACAAAAATGTAAATTAAGGCATATGTTACAGTTTTGCACTTATATATTTTTAACAACTTTTTGACAATTTTCACGAAAAAAAAGAATTGTTAACACAATGTTCAGTATACTTTTGCTTTTTTTAGTTCCAGGATGCAATTTGGCATACCTTATTTATATCGCTGTAAAAATTTTGGAGGTATAGCCTCCCATATATCCTTGGTTTGCTTTCATAGCTCATGTACTCCATTGGACGGACTTGCATACTTAGTAAGCTGCGCTTTTAGTTGATTTCGCAAATTTTCGACGAGATTCATATCCGCGGATTGTGGAGGTCATTTCAAAATAGCAAATTTTGCTTTTGCATCCAGTCTTTGCGAACATGTGCAGTGTGTTTTGGATGATTTTTCAGCAGAAACTCATTTTTCGACTACATCTTGCAAATTTTGTTGAAATATGAACAGATACTGTTCCTTGCGCATAATGCGTACTAACGGACCAACAATATTTTTAAAATACAACCCCAAACTATTATTGACCGACTACTGTGATTCACAGTTTGCCTTACATGATGCGCTTAGGCTTAATTTGGGTCTTTGATCCAATACCATGCCCGGCCATCTGATTGAAAGCGATTAATTTAGTCTTGTCAGGCCAACTAACCTTAAAGCTAATCTTAAAAATGTGTTTTTTATTGCATTATGTAAGGCCTAACATATCCCAATAGGCAACGGTCCGGTTTTCGTGCGATCCGGCAAAATGCTACCACTCTCGCACATGTATTTTGATCAAAATGGTTTTTTCTTCTTTTATTATGCCTCGCTGCCTACTGATTTGCATTCAATTTTAATACCTTAAGCGCTTCTGCAATAGTGGCTGCAGCGCTACTTGCTACTAAGTTCACAAGATATCGGACCGTAATATTTTTTGGCAGACTTCCTTTGTCCTTAATAACATTTTAGGCTATATTTTTTCTCAGTCTTAACATTTTCATGTGGCGAGCTCCACAATTTTTTGCCACTTTTCCTACGGTCCCGCGTTTCTGCAGTAAATCTATTATTTACATTTATGTTTCCTGATTAACCATATTATCTACTGGTAATCACTTCTTGAATAAATTACAATACAGAAAAAAGTCATCTGACTTCTAACTAATTAAAAGATAACTGAGAGTGAGTGTTTGCACTGTAACATTTGCCTTAATTTACATTTTCGGCTGCTGGTTTTATTATTGTTGTTGGATTGACTTCAAATCTTTGAGAGAGGGAGTAGGGGTGTACCAATCATAATATACAACAAAAGTCGTTAGAACTTGGAAAGATAGCGGTGGCTGAAATAAAAAGTGTTACACCATATTACAGTTTTGCTCGTCACTGTAACTTGACAATAGAAATCGCTGCATCTTTTAGGCGCATCAATATTACATAGTCACATCCCGAGCTAATAAAAGGAAGGTAAAAAAAATAAACTTTGCCAGCTTCAGGCATGCGCAAAGCGAAATTTATGTACAGGCAGCGATGCGTTCAAAACAAAGAAACACTGTACATCGTGTATTTCGTTTGGCAACTGTTTTTGTTTTTCTTACTTCAAAATGCTGCTTGCCACGATATCGGCACATGCTCACTGTAAGCTTCTTGGAGTGGTATATGTATATACATTGATCTTCAGCTTTTCCTTTATGTCATAAAGATGAAGTTCGTGAAAAAAAGTTGCCCCTGCGTAGCAGAAACCTAATTTTACATCGCTGTAATAGCATTAAGAATAAATAACACAAAGAAATGTCTGTTTCTCTTCATGCAAATTCTGCACAAAACAAAATTCAACAATGTTAGTTCAACAGATCAACATTCAATCAATCCCATTAGATTTCAATACATGCATAGATATGTACATACATAAGTATGTTCAAATTAGAATTGATATGGTAAAGTAATTTAGCCCTGTTTTTTATGGGAATCCTGCCTCTGTCTAACCGAATTCCAATTTTCCAACGCTGTAGTGGAATGCACAAATGTACATATGGCTATTTGTTGGGCTTCATAGGAATTCGGCGCATTGTTTTCGCGAACTTGATAAATTAGCAAGTGCGTTAAAGGCTGAGCGCTGTGCGTAAAGCGAAATTTATGTACAAGCAGCGCTGCGTTCAAAACAAAGAAGCACTTTACATCGTGTATTTCGTTTGACAACTGTTTTTTTTTTATACCCGAGCGCACTTGTGCACAAGGGTATTATAACTTTGTTCACATAACGGTTGTTTGTAACAGGCAAAACGAATCGAGATAGATATAGACAAATGTATACATAAATGATCAGAATGAAAAGAGAAATCGATTAAGCGGTGACTGTCTGTCCGTCCGTCCGTCTGTCCGTCTGTGCACACGATAACTCGAGTAAAAATTGAGATATCTTAATGAAACTTGGTACGTGAACTTCTTTTGGGCGTAGGACGGATGGTATTGAAAATGGGCGAAATCGGACAATAACCACGCCTACCTCCCATATAACGGTAATTTTCAGAAATACGAAAACTGCGATATTTTAGTAACTACTGAAGATTATTCACTCAAAATTGATATTTACAATGAGTTTTAGACGAAAAATAAGAATATTTTAAAATTTTGGTAAGTGGGCGTAGCCACGCCCACTTATGGTTACATGTGTATATCTTGGTAGCCGCTACACCAATTTCTTCCAAACTCGGCACAGTTGTTGGCCTTGATACATCATACTAAATGGCCGAAAATTTAAAAAATCGGACAATAACCACGCCTACCTCCCATATAACGGTAATTTTCTGAAATACGAAAACTGCGATATTTTAGTAACTACTGAAGATAATTCACTCAAAATTGATATTTACAATGAGTTTTAGACGAAAAATAAGAATCTTTTAAAATTTTGGCAAATGGGCGTAGCCACGCCCACTTATGGTTACATATGTATATCTTGGTAACCGCTGCACAAATTTCTTCCAAACTTGGCACAGTTGTTGGTCCTGGTACAGCATACCAAATGGCCGAAACTTTTTAAAATCGGACAATAACCACGCCCACATTCCATAAAACGGTAATTTCGAGAAATACAAAATCTTCGATAAATCAGTAAATATCAAAGCTAATTTATTCAAAATTGATGGTTGCAACAATTCTTTACCAAGAAATACGTTTATGATAAAATTTTGGAAAATGGGCGTGGCACCGCCCACTTGTAATTACATATATGTATCTCGCTAACCGCTCTAGCAATTTGTACCAAACTCGGTATGGTTATTGTGCTTGCCACATAAAAGCAAACCGTTGAAAATTGTTGAAATCGGTCTTAAATTACGGCCGCTTTTCATATAACAATAAATTTCAGAAATGCTTGAAATTTCAATATGTCGAAATTTAAGGACGCTAATTTACTTAAAATGTATACACCCCGGCTTATCATGTAGCGGTAGCTTTCGGCAAGGTGGAAAACATATCTTTAATACTTGCGCCGGGTATTTAATGTTCGGCTCCGCCCGAACTTAGACTTTCCTACTTGTTTTACTTCAAAATACTGCTTGCTGCGATATCGGCACATGCTCACTGTAAGCTTCTTGGTTTAGCATACATACATTCATCTTCAGCTTTTCCTTTATTTCATAAAGATGAAGTTCTTTAAAAAATCAGTTGTCGCTGCGCAGCAGAAACCTAATTTTACATCGCTGTAATAGCATTAAGAATAAATAACACAAAGAAATATCTGTTTCGCTTCATGCAAATTCTGCACAAAACAAAACTCAACAATGTTAGTTCAACAGATCAACATGCAATCAATCCAAATATATTTTAATACATGCATACATATGTACATACGTATGTTCAAATTTTAATTGATATGGTAAAGTAATTTAGCCCTGTTTTTTATGGGAATCCTGCCTCTGTTTAGCCGAATTCCATTTTTCCAACGCTGTAGTCATTGTGTACAAATACAAGTGAGATATCTTAGCAATAGACGTCATCCTGGGCCACAGCTGCGATCATCTGCGCTTTTTTGACCTGAGTTGCATTAAATAGTCTCTTAAAACTTGGTAGTATTTGTTGTTCAAATGGTAACATATATGCCCAAAAACTTGAAAAATATTAGATGATTGCTTTTTAAAAATGCTATTTATAAAATTTGGTTTTGATTCCGACATTAGAAATATTCAGATTATAAAAGTTTTTCACATATGTTTTAAGATTTTAAAGCTTTTAAAAAGTACGGTAGGATGCAACAATGTGCTTGAATTTGTTTGCTTCTTCGTCAGCTTATTCGTTTGCAGACTAGAAAAATGGCGAACAGCCATCAAAATACTGATTCAAAATACACATCTTTCACTGGACACACAAATGGGTGCGCGCAGCAAAATTCAGCCCTAATGGTAAGTTAATTTCATCGTGCGGCGACAAGTTAAGAATTTGCGATACATTTTCAGGCGAATGTATGCGAACGTTCACCGGGGGAAGAGGTATGGGACGACAGCTGGCATGGTATCCAGACGGCAATCTGGTGGCTTTAGCATTAAGTTGTAACCGCGTTAAGATATTTGACAAAGCTGAAGGCGAGCTAATACAGTGCATTCGTCGCCGGAGAATGATGTTGCATTCACCCAAGTGGAAATTTCTTGGTGACTGGCGGCGATGACGATACAATAAGATTGCTTGATTTATTAGAAGGTCGGCCAATTTATACACGGTAGTAGTGCACTTTAGCGGAACCATATAATATAAATTTTTTCCTGTATTCAACAGTTGCTCGTTTGGAAATCTACATAGATTTGATGCCAATTGCTCGCAACAAACCAGCCAGTTCTCAAAGAGCCCAAATTGATTTTAGTCATGCAACAGCTCCACATAACTCCGCCATAGACACACCAGTTGCTGGAGTACCAAAAAGCTGTGATGACAGTATTTTAATTGATCCACGACAATCGGTGGCATATGGAATGCGTGATGGAAATTTTCTGGTGCTTGATAGCCAATATACTACAAGAGTGTGGCGTGATAGTATTTTTTCTTAAATTTCCATCTTTTATTTGCAGTTACATTAAGAAGCTCATAGAGGACAGAGCGGTTGGTGAGGAAGGTGTCGAGTTACTGCAGTACTGCAACTGGGAAAATCCGCATTTCGCACGTGCCCCACTCGTATGGAATAGTAGCTTATGTCAAAAGGCTGGTTTTAGTATAATGCGGCATTCGCAGCATACCCTCACTGGCGCCGAGCCGTTGAAGAAATTTTGGATAAATAAACGTGCAAGAAATAGTTCCGATACTAGCACGTCCATATTCTTGTTAAGGGTCATCAAAAAATTCCTTGTGTTGTAAAAAATAAAGGGAATGCCGGATTATACTAAAGCCAGCTTCCCGACATAAACTACTATTCCATACGAACACAGAAATATAAATGTATCTAAAACTGAATAACTCAAATCAAATTGGATTGCATTTGCATAATCGGGCAGGTTCTGCAATTCACTTCCGAGTGAATTTCAACCCCTGCCAATTTGAATTCAAAGCGAGTTTGATTGAAATTCACTCGAAAGTGAATTCCAGAACCTGCTTGTATATACCTAATATTGGAATCTGTTTTGATTGTAAAAAAACAACTTGCAATCATTTAGATTATAGTTTTGAAAGAAATTGATTGCAATCGTAAATTGTGTAAAAATTGTTAATAACAATCTGCCTTAAATTTATTTTCCCCATGTAACGGTTATAAAATACGTTAAATCCGCACTATCTGCATTAACAAAAAATATACATTGGAATATTTAAAATAAAACGATTCATATTTATTTTCTAATAAGAATTGTTTCTTAATTGAAAGTATTTAATACTAATATAATGTAGTGGTTAATGTTTTAAAATGAATTCGCAATATGTCCGCAGCTCAGGTTGATTTGAAGAAATCCGTTTAAATTTTTCGAATTACGTCCCCTTTCAGACACGTCAAGTCTTGCTTTCAAGTCTGCTCGTTCGTAGGCTAAGGAGGTGAGAAGAGAGGGGAAGAGTACAGATACCTCCGTACCGTCAATTCGTTTCAAGTTTTCTTGTCTCTTTTGATCTTTTCGTTGCTTCCCATTTAAAGAACCAAGGACTTGAATTCAATTAAAGTTGACGCGTGTGGAAGCAAATAGAAAACACAAAAGAGAATGCGAAAAAAATTGCTTTCAAGACTTGACGTGTCTGAAAGGGGACCAAATCTACTTGAATACAGGATAGGCAGGGTTGCATACAAATGGTAATTCCGTAAATATTTAAAATATGTTAGTTCATTCAATATTTGCATCTTGGCCAATAAATAATAACAAATACAGCCGAGAAAAAAAAGTTTCGATTAAAACGAGTTTTTATAACCCCCCATAAAATTCCGATTAATTTTAAATACGAAAATAACGATATTTTTTCATGGAGAGGTATTTTTTTAATATACCTTGTTTATACCTACACAAAAACCGGATTAGCGAAAAACCGATTGGACTCAACATATATTTCTTTACAGCATTTATCCCCCTGTCTTTATAGCGCACTCGATAAAGTCTTATTCAAAAGTAAACAAAATCTGCTATTTTTAAACGACATCTTTTTAATAAATAATTTGCGCGGTTGACCCAAGCGGATACAAACAATAATTGTAATTTATTATAACAATAATTCGAATTTAAAACGGGCTGTATAAAGAAAACCAGCCTATTGTCACTTCACTTTCCAATGGTGCTGATTGCTGCAAGAATTATTTAGCGATTTAGAGCATGATCAACACAATATATGCTCATAAATATGTATTATTTCACAGATCTCAGGGTCAGCTTAGAAATACGTCACCAAAATTATATAAAATTTAAGTAGGAATTATTTTTATTTATAACGTAAAAGCGCTATCTGACCCAATCTGATAAGTATATTTCCCCTAAAGTTAACCCATTTTATTTAATTTGTCTCTCGTGAAAATATATATTTTATTTAAAATTTTCAGATATGTACATATATTCCAAATTTTTGCTTTAACTTTTGTCTCCTTTTAATATTTAATTAGATACCTTAAGATTAAAATAAGCTTAAAACGAAACAGCACAGCAACCCTTTTCTGTTCATCTTGAGAACACAAAACCCTCTTTTGTTAAAATTCGGCGCTGCACAAAATCCTGGCTTTTATATTTTCCAACAAAATACCACTTCGCAACCCTGGATTTTCACGAAGCGTTTCATTCGGGTCGTAGTTTTGCTACTTCGGGCCATTCGGTGTTGTATGCCATATTGGCTGCCATATTGTTCACACTGCCATCGCCATATTGAACACCCTGTCAACCCTAAGATATCTCACTTGTATTCTTCCACAATGGCTGTAGTGGCATGCACAAACAACAGCAAATCAATGATGTACATATGTATGTGTGTCTATTTGTTGGGCTTCATGGGAATTCGGCACATTGTTTTCGCGAAGTTAATAAATTAGCAAGTGCGTTAAAGGCTGAGTTTTTTGGCTTATACAAAGTGGAATTTCGTTACTACCCCGTCGGATATTCAATTACTTTGAAAGCAATTTAAAAAGTACTTTTTTGCCAACCACAAGTAGTTTGAGTTCTTCCTTTTTTCTTGTAAGCAACTAACTTTATTAACAAGGCGATGTCCTAAACCCAAGCTAATTATCCGACGCTGCATATGTTCCAACTACTTTAAAATTCATAAACTGCACAAATAGTTTGTTTCCAACTACTTTGTCAATTGATTAATTTCTGAGACAAGTCAGTTATTTTCGACAGGGTAAATACAAAAAAATCTTTAAAATAACAGAACAGTGCGAAGTGTTTAAAAATGCCTAAAGCTAAAATAAATTTGTCAAGACAAACGAGAGCCGCAAGGGCAATGGCCGGTTATCAATTTAAAAAAAAGTGAAAAATATAATATCGTTGCCCCAGTCCCAAATAGTTTTTCAGACCGTCCGGCACATTGCCGTTTTTTACCGTCAGTGCTGCTTCAGTATTCGTTCCGCAATTTTTTTTACACTCTAAAAACTGCATGTAAAATTGCTACTGAAAAGTGTTTATTTTCAAATAAAATCTGTGTAAGTATACGCATAAGATGTTCAAGACTGAATTTTTGAACATGAGATTTTTTAAAATATACACATGAAGTGTTTAAAATTGCCAACGTTTTTAACGCGAAAATACATTCCTTACTAAAAATAAAAATTAAGTACATTTTATGTGTCATTTTGCTCTATGCGACAAATTCGGTATGTAAAAGTAAACAGGCAGTGTTTAATTTTATTAACACGGTGTCTAAATTTGCACACATTAGGAGAGGAAACTGGTAACCTCTCTTAATATGCGTTAATTTAAACAAACAACTTTTAGAGCAAATTTTAAACGCTTTTGGCCTTATTCATAAAAAATAAAGTAGGTTTAAAGAGCTTTATAAAGTGAAGTTTTCATACATTTTTCAGTTTATACACGTTTTTTAAAGCTACTTTATTTTTTATGAATAAGGCCATTTATGTGTAAACTGTGTAATTGTGAACACTAAGAAAATTCGATAGACATTTTTTTATTTAAGTTTAAGTAATGATTTCACTTTACTTTAAAATAGTTAAATTAACGGCCCTAAGAGTCAAATTCACAGTGCTGTACTGAAAGCCTGTAGTTAACTGAAGATTCTGAGTTAACTACGCACTGTGAATTTGGCCTTGAGTGTTTAGAATTCAACAAACAAATTTCAAATTTGTTCTACGCCACACATATGGTCAGTAAAAGTAAAAAAAGCAGTATTTAAATTGATTAACACGTTGTGCAAATTTGCATACATTAAGAGAGGAAACTAGTTACCTTTTTTAATAGGCTTAAATTTAAACAAACATTTTTTACAGTGTAGTTTACTCGGCAAAGATTTGTTTGTGTATTTCCCCGACGAGCTGATGGTATTCTATTGCAAATTTTGTTTAATACGGAGGGAAAATTAATCGAGTTGGTACGGAATTATCCAGGAAATAATTGACAACTGATCATTAGTAAAATAAGTCATCTTGGTTTCAGTGAAATTCATTTTACTGAAAGTACCGGACGACATGCTACGGATGTGTTTGAATTGGTATCACTGATCGATGCTGATTGGCTATAACACTTCGCTCTTTCAAAGCGACTTGAAATTCAGTTTATACATATGTTTTGAATCGCGGCGAAATGAATTAAAGCGACTTATGCATGCGTATAAACGTAGTATATTGATACTGAACTGATACGGCACTGATTTGTGAAGATAGATCTTAAATTTTGTTATTATCACCAATCGATTACAACACATTATATGTACATACATATGTACTAGGGTTACAATGGCCGCCCAGATGAATTATGGATACTAATGAAGGCCCTGAAGGGGTTTTCCCATTTGAGTTTCAATACGGTTTCTCCTTAACTTTGATGCAAAATTACTCACGAGGCGTCGCGAAGCACGCCGGGTATTTGCTAGTGTATGTATATATGAGCATAGATACATATGTACATACATAAAAGAATACAGCCTCATTGCGTAAGTCGTAAATTAGGCTAAATTGTACGAATCGACAACATTGGCATTGTCTACTGTCGTGCTGAAATAAGTAAACGACGAAAATCGTCGAAAACTATACAGTGCTGCCAAGTATTTGCGTTTTAATACACTAGTCGAGAGGAAATTTTAGGCAATGACGTGAAATTTTCTATACGATTCGACTCTCGAAAAACTATTTGCATTCGACACGTCTCTCGCAATGAGGGTGATAGAGACATATACCTTGTTTATACCGACACATAAAGCGCTTTGACCCAGTTCGCTGTGATTCAAAACGGAACCAAATTTCAATACGCTCAGAAATTCAAAAGTGTATTGACTCGATTTTGTTTTCAAATCGGTGTTTTATTTCTCACATCGGTTAGAAAACAGGTATAAACACATCACTCATTTAACGCGAAGTGAAACAAGGCCGGTTTTCTTTATACAGCCCGTTTTAAATTTGAATTATTATTATAATAAATTTGAATTATTGTTCGCATCTATTTCGGTCAATCGCGCAAATTAATTATTAAAGAAATATCTTAAGAAAACAACAAATTTTGTTTACTTTTGAAAACGGTTTCAGCGAGGGCGCTATAAAGACACAGGTATAAACTTTTGAAAGAAATATGTGTTGAGTCAAATCGTTTTATTGTAAATGCGGTTCTTACATTGGTACAAACAAGGTAATAATGAAATATTTGCTAAAGTTTGAAATTAAAAAGACAGTGTACAAGTTTCGTTAGCGAAAATCTCATAAAATTGCCATTAAATACAAATTAAAATAAATGTTAAACCGAGTTTTTAAGTACCTAAAATAATTAAAAGTTAAAACACAATACATTCGCAGAATAAATGTAACAAACTAAGCGCACTAAATTAAAATTATTATGAAATAAAATCAAAAACTTTAATAAAATATATGTATAGACAAAAGAAATAAGAAACCCAATTCCCAACCGCTGCATAGTGCAGGAGCCCACTAGCAAAAGCTAGCGGCATCTAATGGAAACAACAACAGAAGCAGACACAGTAACAGGAACGGCAGGAGGTCAACGGATACCGGTAGAAGAGTAAAGTTGCGGCAAAACAGGTGGTAGAAGCACAGAGGTCAAGTAAGTGTATCTACGTATTCTTCTCCTTTATACATATGTATACATACATATTTACTCATATATGTACATTCTATATACATACCCTAGCGGAATAGATTTACGGTAAATCAAAAATTTTACATATTTAATTCACCTCGAATAAATACGCCGACTCCCTCGCGCTCTTTTTCCAATTATACATACCTTTATACTCAGTTAGACTCCAATCGGGCAACTAAACCTAGCTACACACGACGAACATCTGCGCGCACATGCACGGCTTGCGGTGCGGATTCGTTATATTTGTTTTTTTATTTAATAATAAATATTTTTTTTATAATGTCTAGCTCATTGTTCATATAACACCCCGCGATAATAAATTGTAAACATAAATATCAATATATTCGCGAAACCATGGGCCAAATATATGGCCCTATTATGTATGGCGACTGATAGCCGATGGGCAACCATAGACTGAAATTCACATTACGTATGGCAACTCGCTACTGACTGTCGGCTACTGGCAAGGCTACTGAGTCTGGTAGCGCAATTTTCTGTATTATGTATGGCTACCATCTCTTTTTATAGTATACGTAGTATATGTAGCAAACGTCAAATTGAAGCAACTGATCACCATCAGTCGCCATTGTTATATTTTGCGAATTTTGGAGGAGAAAGCTGAAACAAATTATGATCATGGCAGAAAAATTGTAATAATATGTAAATTCTATTTATATTGGTATATAATTAACAGTTTGATATTTCTCCAGGCCAGTGAAAATTACTAATAGCAAGCAATTTGAGCGTTTGGTGCATTTAATGCAATCCAACCCAGGAATTGCAAGAGGAACACGGACATTTGGACAAAACAAAATCCAAAACGACGAACAATGGGACGCTTTTGCTACGGAAATAAATAGTTTCGGCCCTCCAAATAGATCTAGAAAAGAGTGGCAGCGGGTAATAATTTTTACCATTATATATGTACATACTGCAATAAGCATTTTCATGTACATATGTATACATACATTTGTGTAGGTATGGATTAACTACAAGGCCAAAACCAAGAAGAAAATTAGTGCAAATAACCGAAATATAAGAACGACTGGTGGAGGCCCATCAGAGGAGCAAACGTTATCTGCACTCGAGCAAGTGATAGCAGATATTTTACACACAGACGTAAGTGTAAATCCACCCGGCAATGTGTTTGGTATTGTGGAAATGGACGAAGACGAACAAAACGTAGAGCCGTCATGCAGTTCTTCGCCAAATATTTCGATAACTGTTCCAAAAAAAAGGCAAAAAAAAAATATTGAAGAAATGAAAGTGGACATGTTAAAGTCGAAAACTTTAAATAACTCGGCTATAGCACAAAATTTAAAAAAAAAATAGAAAAAAATACATACAAAATGAGCAAATATGCTGAACAAAATCATGATTTAAAAAAAAGAAAAATTTGAACTATTAAAAGAAAATATGAATTTAGAGGCGGAACTTAAACGAAAGAAAATTCAACTTAACGAATACCAATTAAACAATATGTAATTTTAAAGATTCAATCAGGCAGGTTCTGCAATTCACTTGTTGCTATCGCAGCAACACTTCGACATTCATCACACGTCGGCAACTAGCTATATCGATCCGAAAATTGTTGCTAACTGGTTACAGAATCTTCCTACAGGTTGTGCTTCAAAATATCACCTAAAAGCCATGTGTTTTCTCCTGCGTTATTCGACATAATTTCCTTGAGTCTACCATTATTCCATATGAAGGCATCATGTGTGGCTCCTGGATATCTGGCATCGACATACGTTATGTTCATATTGAAATCGCAAACCTAGGTAATAAGGAATTTGTGTGTATCCAAGATAAATATGCGGAAACTAACTTACCATTAACGCGTTTATACTGAAAAATCCTTTTCTGTTTATGTACAGGTGTTGCAGTTCCTTTTCAGGTGATAAAATGTGCACATGAGTGCCATCCACACAACCCAACACACCTGGAAATCCACTCTTATTGTAAAAATTTGTTTTGCTTTTATTCTGCTCTTCTTCGCAAGTGTCAAATTTGATGTGCTTGGGACAAATCTTCTGCTCGATTAAAGAAGTAACTTCAGTTAGTATTACTGACATAGTGGGTTGGGAGATGCCAATATTGAAATCATTCCCTTGGCATTTTTGATAACTCCCTTCCGCAAAGAAACGGAGCACTGCGCAGAGTTTAAGAATTGGAGGTACCGCAGTTGATCGAAAGCTGCTTTTGAAATGAGGGGATAGTTCCTCCAACAAATATACAAATGCTTCCTTTGATATCCGAAAATTGCTTACGAACCTGGAGGTATAGATTTGTTAAAGAAATATGTACATGACAATTTATTTAACTTACTTAACAACTGGTAGATCCAAAGGATTGGAGCGATCCCTTATGTGACGCCGTATTAGAGCAACGTTTGCACACTCTTCCCGAATTGCGAAAAATAACTCATAGCTGCTGATCTTTCTGCTTTCTTTATTTTTATAAATATAAATGTTTCCCGGTTGTGACGATTTTTTTATTTGTTTACATAAATTGTCAAACACATTGGAGCAAAGTTGCCAATTACTTCAAATGTACATGTCAAAAAAGCAAACTCAGGGATGTTTTCTGCGTTTTTCTGTATACTGAGATTAATCGCTATACGTAATACAAAGTACGATACTGGTAGCCACGGCTACTAGACCGGCAACTAGACACCAGTCGCCATACATAATAGGGCCAATAGAAAAGTTACAGAAGACAAAGATGAAATTCCAGAATATCTGTTGGACGAAATTATCGACCTTTCTGATGATGATGACGATGACCAAGATCTTAGAGAGAGCAGTGATGTTGATCCACAGCCGCCTGCTAAACGGCAACTGGCCAAATCATTAATTTAATTTATTTAATTTTTTTACTTAAAACTTTTCATAACTAACATTTCAAAATTATATTTTTTTCCATATTTTTATAATTTCTTTTTCAATGTTTCTTCAAAACCAACACTGAAAAAATTGGTACATAAGAAATGAGAAGTAAATTAATATTAAGCTGGAAAACGCAAGTTTTGTATTATGATTGTTTTCTTTTCAAATGAAATTTATTGAAGAAACTGAGAAGCATATTATAGATCAAACAGAAAGCAAAAAAATACTTAGTTTTGTGGAAAATATGTTCAAAGAGCATGATAAAAAAAATCCAACATTTTGCTTCACAAGCACTACAAACATTTTCTAAATCAATTTTTTTTTTTTAATTTTAATTGTTGCATAGGTCTCTAGCAATAATTCGGCTTTAACAGATTGAAAAAATATCAATTAGTCGACGAGTTATAGCCAAAAAACCATATAAACAATATGCTGAAAATCGGCATTTGACTGCAAAGTTCGAAGGTCGATTATAAAAAATTTCGAACTAACATAAACAAACGCCGCGATAAGGGTCTTCTAATTTAGCCTCTATTTTCAGCCCTCACTCTCAGAACCGACCTAACTTTTGCTAACCTGAATTTGTTCCACAGTGTAATTACAGGTATTGTCTTCCTAAAGGGGTTTGCTTCACATCGAAATTCGTGCTCCCTTATTTTAATTTTGACGCAATTAATGTTCATTCTTTTACTTTTATTTGGCTTTGCTTTTTGTTTTCGCTCAATTTAATTTTTATAAGTTTTCAAAACAAAAGAAAAAACGTTTAAAATTAAGTGAGCCATACAAATTTTAAATTTATTTACAAGCAAATGTTTTTTTCCAGCTTTTGCAAATTGAATAAGTTCTCTGTAAGATGGTTTGTTAAAAAAAATACGTGAACATACTTACATATGGTATATAGAAAAAGGGATATTTCCAGCAGTAAACGTTTTAGTGTGGGCAACAATGATATTTTTTAAATAAGACAGATCGGAATATGCGCTCTCTGGGAAGACAATACCTGTAATTATTGTACCATGGTTTCAAACCCATTTATTTATTATTTATTTCATGGTAGGAGAGCTTCTCAAACAATATAGAAGCAATTTTTTCGATTCAAGTTGTTGAAAAGTAATGAATATCTAAGTCCCGCGACTAATCCCGGGATCCCGGGATTGTGACAACGCCATCCCGAAAATCCTGGGATCGGTAAAAGCCGAAAAATTAACATCCCTAATGCACATTAACTAAACGTTAGTTGTTGATATGTAAGTAGGTATGTACATATGTAAGTACATACAATTTCCCTACTCCATTACGCACTCATTTTTTTGTTCTCGATTACAATATACGTACCATGATAAAAACCATAATAAAAACATAGTAACGTAAAACCGTTTTCTCAATTCGTCGGCCATGATTTTTTTTGAAGTTTGCCAACATTTTAAAATCATATGAAATTGAGAGTAAAAAAAAGGAATTGTTCGAAGTTATTGTTTGAGACTGAAAATAGGAATGTGTGTGTGAGTTTGTGTGTAAAATTTCAAAGTTAAATTGCTTGCAAACGTCAAGAATTTGAAAAATTCCTCTCAGCGGTTCTACCTTCCTATTTTTTTATCATGATACGTACTGTAAATTGCCATACTCAGATGTGCTGAAAAAATACAGTGTCTTGAGAAAGGCCAAAATATAAAATAAAAATAAAATAAAATAAATAAAAATCTGAGCAAAGGAAATCACATACAATAAAAATAAATAAAGCTGCATACAAAAAAATACAATAAAAATATTTAAAATAAAATTTAAGTAAAAAGCTGAAATAATACTGCGGGTTAAAAACAAAATCCTTATATTTACACTTCCTTACCCCATATTTCCAAATCTGAACTTTTAATAATGGAAATGTACAAACAAATTATTTCTACCTATCCTTCTTTCTCAACTAATAATCCCCTTCATGATCTTATGTTCGAAATACATAGATTCGTAATCTTTTGTCACAGATGGACGTCGGCAGCGAGTTTCACAGAAACCCTGTTAAAAGTGAAAATGAATCTCCTAGACACAAATTGGGAAAATATCGTTCCTGCTTTTAAAGAAGTATCTGTCTCACCCCTATGCTCAGAGATTTGTAGTTCGGTTACACTGGCCTACGAGAAATGCTTTGAAATGCAAAGGTGAAATGTTGAAAGCTTTTGAGCACCTCCAAGCCTACACAAGTATTCAAACGACCCCAAGTAATACACTGAAGTCTACAAAACCTTCAAATATCTCTCTAGATTACAGTCCACAGCTCAAGTGTCTCCTCCCATAGACACAACACCAAACTCCCCTATCCCCAGCTCTGCTCCAAAGGACACAGGTAATAAAACCAATTTCGTAGCCAGTAATGTAGAATCCACCAATGATTCGCCCCGATGCACTCCAACCCAATCTAATCATTACCTCGCTCGATCCCACCGGATACCGGATGAGGAAAATTCCGACCCGCCAGACTCGCTCTCGCCAATGCAAATATCGGAAAGGAGGCACGAAACCTCTAATCCAGAATCTCCAGGTACAACTCTCTCTTCTCCACGTCCTCAAACAAACTCCTCATAAGCGGTGCCAACTTTGCACAGTTCAGATCCTTCTATTGGCTCTCAAAGCTCAACCATTGCTTCAACCCCGAAGAAAAATAAGTCACGTCCGCAACCGTTTTCATTATCTCCTGCCTCTATCTCAATTACCCCAGGTGCCACTCTGACGGCAGCAATTTTAAAGAACAAACGGGAGCATGACCGTTGTTCACCGAATTAGAAAGCCAACCGTAAGGGGTTATTTAAGGACAAATCCTAGCTCACAAGCGAACAACAAGGCATCACAACGCCCACAAAAACACTGGAGACACCCACACTTCAGACTACAGGCTCTGCACACCCATCAGCAGGCGAATAGCCCTTTCGCAACTCTTGAGACGCTGAAACATAAGCAACATACTCGTCATAAAATATAAGCACCGAATTCTCAAAAGGCGGCGCAAAGTCATTTTCCTCCTACACAAAAAAAATCGTTTGAATTCTCCTCACACTCTCATAAATTATTTACTCCTTTTCTAATCTTATCCACTTTGCCACATAATACATGCCCACATAAGTAACTCGCATCCCCACACACTCGTATTATTTTACTTATACATTTTTTGATCTTCTCCCACAGGCGGATCCAGATGTGTCAGCTACGCCAAAACACCAATTAAATATCTCCTGCTCTGTCACGGATCCCGAGTCAGACCTCCAGAGGACTAGGCAACTGTAACCAGCCAGCGTTGAGATCAACATTTGTGGGCCCAGCATGTTGAAGACATGGGCAGCAACTTTGTTACTTTCAACACACTAAGCTTTCTTATTTCAAGATCTAAATTAGCTTCTATTGTAACCTTGTATTGTTCGAATATTAACTATTGTAACTACAAGCTTTGAATTTCGTGTTGTTGTAATTTTCGAATATGAAAATGTAAGCGATAATACGGGTAACCCGACCTCGCAGCTAGAGCGGTATTGTCATTCCACTCCTGACCGCCACCGCAATCACTCATAAACTCCTAATTAAATATTGTAATTTTGCCCTTGAATTCAAAAAAGATGCTGGTTTGTTTGGTTTAAGTTAACCTCAAATCTCATATTATTTGGACATACATACGCGCATACGTCTGTATAGTTGTGCACTCTGCACGTGAGAATCGAATGACGTTTATTTGAGAGTTGTCAACTGAGATCAGCGAGCCTCAAAAACTTGTGACTAGCGTGTCTAAAACTTGTATCAGTAGCATTTAGAAAAATTAACAGTCCATTTGACAGCTGTCAACTCTCAAAGTTTTAATTTAATATAAAATTCGTGACTAGCTTGCCTAAACCCCTTATCGGTGGCATTTTCAAACAGATTTTCTTAATTTTAGAGAATTTAGCAGTTGATTTAACAGCTTTCAACTGTCAAACTATAAATTTGGCATATGGAATATTCGGATTAAGCATTACAAAAGAAGTACGATCCTGCAGCATTATTATTATCGTAACAGCCCTTTCGCGTAAACCAAGGCTTCTCCGACCACAGTACGCCGTCCGCTGCAATTATGAGTAGAGCTTAAATAAAAATAAAATGAGATATTCATAAGTATAGGAAAAAATAATTTTTGTTTATTGTTCCATAAACAAATTGCTCCAATATTCCGGCATAAACGTCACTAAAAATTGAAAAATGTGAGTTTATCTTAATATAGAGATATTAATTTAATCCTTTATTTCATTAACGCTCGAACAACGGCGTTAACATTTAACGCTTTAAGGTCTGAATATGTTTGTCCAGTTCCGACGAATACAATTGGCTGTCCAGTAATGTAGGTCATAGATATGGCTGCGCCGACCTTGTCATCGATCGTATCGAATTTAGTAAGAACAATTCCATCAATTATATGTGGATTTTCATTGGAAGAGTAATCAGCAAGAGATTGGTTAAATTTAACAAGCTGATCAACAGCTTCATTACCGACGAGTGCTTCACCCACAAATAAAACTAAATCGGGGTCATTGACCTTAATTAATTTGGATAACGATCTCATAAGAGGCTCGTTGTCTTGCATGCGACCAGCTGTATCGACAAGGACAATATCAATACAAGTGTCATGAGCAAATTTAATAGCTTCCATTGCAATTCCTGCAGCATCCTTTCCATACCCTTTCTCATAAAGTTGAACCATGGTTCGACCATTATGTCTTTCCGGTGGATGTAAAGCATTCAGATGCCGAGTATGTGTTCTAAGCTGTTCCACAGCACCAGCTCGAAATGTGTCACATGCTGCAATCAATACACTAAAATCATTTTCTATTAACCAAAAACATATTTTTGCTAAATTTGTAGATTTCCCCACTCCGTTAACTCCACAAAATGTTATTGTATATGGTCTGTTGCTACTTTTTGCTTCTAGCGCGTCGCGTATAATATCTAACCTTCGCTTTGGTGATAGAATGCGTACCAGCGACGTTGTTAAGGAATTTTTTACTAACGATGCGATCGAATCAAATGTCCCTAATGATTTGCCCTCTAAATTAGTAGCGACAGAGTCGCAGAGTTTGTTAGCAATGTCTGCAGCTACATTTTTTGATATTAAATGATCGCGCATCTTCTCCAGAATCGATTGCAGTTCGGCTCGGGACAACTTTTTGGAACCAACGATCACTTTAAAATACGATAAAATACCGCTAGATTTTGGAGTACTATTGGAACTAGATATCTTCTCCTCTTCAATTTGCATGTTGTCATCATCGCTTTCAACCTCTAAATCTCGAATTCGGCCTTGCATTGTGCCAACAATCTGAAAATTAAAAGTTAAATATTAGCATCTTTATATTATATCTATGTAAGTACGTATTGTGTCTCGTGTAGACGCAGAGTTATATGCTTTATTTATTATTTAGTATTTTGGCGCGTTTTCCTAGTCCTGCTTTTAAGTTGAAACTAAAAATGTTGTAACTTAAATTTAAGTACCAACTTAAAATTTACTTCTATTCATAGTCGCATTTCAGTCTTTTACTAAGACTGAGTTCAGACTCGGAAACTTTTGTCGCGGCAACTCGTTACTTGGAGGAGAGCGAAGGATTTCTCATGCACTTACAACTTGTATGGGATCAACCGAAATTAAACGGCGTGCGTAAAAAACTAACTCAATTTCAAGATTTTGATTTGACGTTTCGATCAGTAAAATCAAATACAAACGCACGCAAGCCAATTTCGGGTGACGCAGAAAAACAAATTAGACGGCGTGCGTATTAAGAATGTTAATCCCGGGATCCCGGTCTTCTTTAGGTCCCGAAAATCCCGGGGTTCTTGGCAAATAATCCCGGAATTTCGGGATTTGTAATTTGCACTGATGGCAATAATATAAACTCCTTTTCTTGACTAGTATTGACTATATTAATTTTTTTTATTTAATAATCAGAGCTGGGCGATAAGGATTACATGTGTAATCAATTGCATCTAGGATTACGATTACTTTAATCGCAATTTCAAAAATTATTAAATTCGGATTGCGGTAATCGTTCATCGAAGGCATCTTAGAATACGATTACAGTAATCGTAATTTAAACTTTTGTAAAATTACAATTACTGTAATCGTAATTTAAGTTCGTTCGATGAATGATTGCAATAATTTTAAATTTACAATTTTTCTAATTACAATCTTTTGAGTAATCTTTAACGAAGTTATTCTATAAATTTGCGAAATATAAATGCGCGCTTAACGATAATATGAGGATAATATGTATTTATCTAAAAAAACAGACAAATAAAAGAAACTAATAGTAAAGTAGTTTGGGCGAAATAAACTTTGTATAACCGGCAAATAAAACAATACAGGATTACAATTAAAGTAATCGTTCATCGAACGAACTTGGATTACGATTACAGTAATCGTTATGTTAACTTTTTTTAAATTACGATTACTGTAATCGTATTCTAAGTTCGTTCGATGAAGGATTACTGTAATCGTAATCTTGTTTTTTTAGCTTGTTGGGATTACTGCAATCCTAATCGTTTAGTAATCGTAATCCTTATCGCCCAGCTCTATTAATAATTAATATTTTTTTATAAGTGGCTAGCTCATTATACCTATAACACCGTGAGATAGTAAGTTTTACACACAAAAATCAATGGGGGTATTCTCGCAGTCTTGCAAAGTCCATGTACAGTGCACGGATTGCACAGTTTGCAAAGCTGTCACATAGGAAACCCGTTTTTTTTCGTGCAATCCGTGCAATCCATGCACCGTGCAAGGGCTTTGCAAGACCCCGAGAATACCCCTAATATATTCGCGAAACCATGGGCCAAATATAGTAAAATTGCGTTTTTAGTTTATCACTCTGACACACACACAAAGCAAAGACGGATACAATTCGGCGGCTAAAAGAGTGGTTGGCTTCCGAGCTATTCAACAAAGCTAATAAAATTAAAGTGTCGATTCGCCAGATGCGGTTAGAGGAACAGTGGGTCGCAGTCAAAGAAATAAGAGACAGTTTGTGCGGTGTGGTCGAGGTGGACTAGAAAAAGTTGAACGACCGTATCGCATCGATAGAGGACATATATATTGAAACGTTGACGGAGTTGAAAGGAAAGACCGAGATTCTCGCAATGAAAGAGCAGGCGGAATGCATGCCTACAGTTGTGCAGGTGCAAATGCCGTTCCAGCAGCACGATTTGAGAAATACTTGGGGGCAATTCGATGGAACGCTCACCAAGTGGCATGGCTTTCGAGATCGCTTTATCGCTGCCGTTCACGATAACAGCCAAATTTCACCGGCCTATAAGTTTTCCTATCTAAAGAAGTCTTTAGTTGGCGCACACGTTGGGCGAATGGCAGCTCTCGGATAGAAACTACGCAGAAGCTTGGGAAAGATTGAACCAGATCTATAATAAAACTTATCAGATATGCCGTGAGTATATACGGCAGGTGGAAAGATTGCCGGCGCTTCAACCGCCAGTGCGTGCGAATGATTTGCAGAAAATGGTTAACGTAACCTATGAGGCTATACGGCAGCTGGCAGCGTTACAGATTCCGGTTCATTCTTGGGATATGATGCTCGTGCACATGCTTCATGATAGATTGGACACGGAAACGTCCAGGCAATGGGCGTTACACCGCTCTTCTGAATTCCCAAAGGCCGAAGACATATTGACGTTCATAGAGAAGCAAGCGGCTGCTGTTAGCAATGATGTCTCCAAGGTCATGCCGGTCGCCGGCGGAAGAAAGCGGAAAGAAAATTAGCGGAAAGGACAGTGGAAAGATAGGGAAAGAAGTAAAGAAGCTGCTATGCGAGGCATGTGGGGCTGACCATCCGGTCTGGGAATGTCCGGAATTTAGCAACCTAAATGCAACTGCGAGAAAAGATTTTGTGGAAAGACGGCGCACTATAGGCAAAACACGAGTTTTTTTTTCAAAATCGTAGATCTTCGGTTAGAAAAGAGATAATGGAATGAAAATTTTTTTATCGTGAAGATAAATGATCATATAATACAGAAAACTATAGAGAAGTTTCAACAATAATAACTTAACCCTCGAAATACCGTTCAAAATGTCACTTTTTTTTGAAATTTTGGATTTTGGCTCCCATTCCACTAGAAACACTATATTTAATACACCATTAGCCTTTTTTCTGAAAGATTTCTCTTTATTTTATCTCAGGACCCGATCTTTGGGGCATTGGATGCTGTACCCGAGTCGCCAGATTGGAAAAAAGAAAAGCTTCATTTAAACTCTAATAACTCGTAAACTATCCGCTTTCACAAAAAAATCTATATAACGAAAATGGTTATACTGGTCGATATCTTTACGAAAGTGCAACATTTAACCCTTTAATGCAGAGTCTGTCATATATGGAACGCTTTTTAACCCTTTCAAGGCAGAGGCAAAATGGTTCTCAATATGCTTTCAACGTGCTTTTTCTCATTTTGACGTAAATAGTAATCGTAGAAAATTTTTCCATAGCAAAATAATAATAATTTCTTCAATGAAGTCTTTTTAATTTTTTCCATTTATGTATGTATAAAATAATACCCGAAAACCATATGCAAACTTTATTTAAATCTTCTAGATCATTAAGGCCGTTAAAGGGTTAATACTAAAGTAAACGAAAATATTGGGCCGCATGCATAGAAACTAAGCAATTTCTTTTTTTTAATTTCATACCTTTCACTTAAATTTATTTGCACGAATTGAAAAAAGGTCTGAAATTTTAAGCAAAAGCATTTCCTTAGGTTTTATGCATATGGCCCATTGTTTTTTGTCTTTGCCCTTTTGTGTTCAGAAATTAATTTCTCTAGCTTTACGAGGATTTCATTTTTTGGTGACAGGTAATAAGGTCAATGGAAATAAGGTCAATTGACTTTATTTCCCACCCTGGTGCGAAATAAAGTCAATTGACATTATTACCTTTTTAAAAGCGAAATAAAGTCAACAAAAATTTGGAAATAACGTCATTGATGCTATTTCCTCATTCAAATGGAAATAGCGTCAACAATGCTTAAAGTATGTCGATTCATAGAAAAAAAAATGTTGTTCTTACAATAAACATTGCCCCGTAAGTGTTGTTTTTTAATAGATGAAAAAGGTTATTGCCAAATACTCAGTGTTGTGATATTAATCCACACACAATCATGAACTACCACCAATTGATTTTATTAAAAAAATTTAGATTACGAATATGTAAAAACACGATGCGAAAAACTAAACACCTGCGCACAGCTGGAATATGAGAAATATTTGAAGAAAGAGTGTAGAAATGATCCATAACTTGCAAAACATTTTTCGTTTCCACAAAAATAAAGCGAACACTATTAAATTGATGAAACAGTCCATGCCCAAAAACCCCGGAGGAACACTGAAAGAATTCTGTGTTTTAAATTAGCATATTTTGAACGAATTCGGAATGTCTAGGGTGGAAAAGAAACCAACCTTTCTATAAGGAAACAATTATAGAAATAGAATTTTCTTAAATTGTATTCATGTCTCCGCCAGCAATTTGTGGAACCGAGATCATATAAGTTAATTGATTGGTTTTCACACACTTTTGAAACACAAATTATATGCTTTTTTACTGCAGACAAGTTGTTGCCCCAAAACACAGCAGAAATCTTCCAATCAGGGCTGCCAACTATCCTTCGTTATGAGGTGCCATATTGAGGATAAAAAAGTGCCAAAATGTGCCAAAGAGAAAAATAATAAATTATGCCAAATTGAAAAATTAAGTGGCATTTGAAGTAAAATAGGGACAAATGGCACGGTTTGAGCCAAGTTGGCATCCCTGCTTCCAATAACTTACAAATATAAAAAGGTGAAATATCGAGGGCTTGAATTCATTAATACCCTCTATCTGCAATTTGCACAAAAACTAATTTGTGATTTTAGAAACAATGTGGGACTTATTACCTGTCGTTATATAAGGTAACATTAATATCACTGATGACAGTTAAAGCTTGGGCGGATTTTTATATTAGAATCTCATCTTTGTGAAAAATGTGCAGATAGAGGGTATTATTGAATATAAGCCCTCGATGTTTAAAATATATAAAAAATTTATTTCAACGTATACAAAAAGTAAATCCACCTGCGTTACAGCACGGCGGGAGACGGGGAAGGGGGGGCCGGGGGGCCGCGGGGCCGCGGCGTAGCGTGACGTGGTGTGCGCGCCAGTCGCGCGGGGTACGCGGGGCGCGAGCGCGAGCGCGGCGCGCGCGCTGTGGCGCGCAAACGCGGGTCGCCGCGAAGCTAAGCAAATTTAATGTTTGAAAGAGAAATAATGTCAACTCATTTTATTTCGTTTT